ATACACCCCTCCCTCTTCCCATCTTTACCACGCCCATAACCTTGGGCCCTCCCGCGCGTGCACCGACGCGGCAACGCTGACACTGGTGGTTACGCCGGCGAGACCAGTCCTTCCCCGCGCTATCTACAGAGCCGATACCTTACTAGGCTTGAACGCGAAGCACTGAGCAAAGGAAGCACGAGCTATGATGCCACAGTAAGGCCGGTCCATGGCGGCGGAGCTCCTGCACTGAAATGATGATGTTCCGGTGAGCTACAACAATGATGGAGAACTTGGGGTAGCGAGTGAGCTCAAGGAACTCACCATGGATATAGACGACGTAGTGGTTCGGCTAGAGACATCCCGAGATGAGCTGGTCGCATGCGTGCAGATGATGCGGTGGTGCACGGTGGTGGCGAGGCTATGTCAGGACGGCTAGGAGGTGGTAGTGATTAGGCAAAGGTGCACAGGGTGACGAGAAGGTGGAGGCAAAGTTAGCGGTGCAACGAATTGAAGCGAGCATCACTGGATAGGGAGCTTGCCTTCAACGTGTGCCACGACGGTCTTAACGACCCGGTGAGAGGAAAGCTCCGAATTGGAGCATGGCACGGCGAGGCTCGCTACAAAGTGGGGTCGGGCGGTTGGCTGACTACACGATGGAGTTGCGGACAGGGTTAATTGGACTGAGGTGCCTCCATTGACCCAAATTGAGATGAGCGGGTTCGGCGACCACGGCGATAGAGGAACAGGGGAGACAGGCGTGGGTCGGCTCATTGCTACTGTGGTGGGATGTGACTACCACTTCAGTGCACAATCGTGTATGGCTATAGGGCGATGGGGAAACGGCCTACGCGCTCAGGACGGTGGGCCACACAGCCATAAACCATAAACCGACGACGGCGGCTCGGTCCTATGCGCCACAGTGGCATGGCGTCGGTACGAGGAGGCAGCAGCGCAGCGTTGTCGAGCGCCGATGTGATGGCAAGGCAGGCGGGGCAAGGCGACGTGCGGGTAGGGCCAAGTGTGGCCACGCACTCACGGCACCGCATAGGCGAGCGCGAGGCAGCAGAGCGGCAGGCAGACACGACGACGGTGGCAGAGCGCACGCGGCAATTTCGCACAAGCGGCCACGGCTAGCAACAACGTGGTGTCATGACGCACGAAGTCAACAACATGGTGAAGTGGTTGTAGTGGGCAGGCTAGAGCAGCGGCCTCACGACGATGGCGTGCTCGTGCGTGCGTGGTTGCTTGCGTACGTGAGCGCGACAGTGGTGGTGTGGGCCCGCGTAGTGGTGCGCGCATGCCAGGGGCATGCCAGTACCACGCGCCAAGCTGAACCACAACCTGATGACCACGGCCAGACACTGCACTCGCTTGGGAATGTGTCTTGCATGCTTTTTAGAGCGTCCCCAAAACCCACCTCATTGCTTCAATTGCTAAACCAACTATTTTACGCTCGAGATGGTATATCAAACTACTAAAACAAACCCTAAGACCATGCCACTACTTAACCCGATTCCCCTATAAAAATTCCCAAACATAGCCTTGTCACACCGTTTTCTAACTTAAGAAATTTGATTACGACTCGCTCGGATTTGCGTCAACTTTGATTTCCAAGCTACCAACCAAGCTAGCTAGTGGCTCTTGTTCTTGACCGCAAGTATTTCACCGTCACCTACGAAGTTTGTACTACAAACTTTATTAAAGTTTTGTCTATGTGTTCTATAGCATTTTTGTTTAATAAAAATTCATTTAGAACCCTAAGTGATAAAACATGACATGAAATATAACATTCATTTCGCGTTTTTGATTAACGTTTTCAAGTTACGTGTATTGCTTTACACCCTATAATACACACATTTACATATAAGTATGATGCTCATGCAGTGTTTTAACAAAAGATTGTACAGTGTAACACCGAGGGTGTTACAAGAAATTAGCGACAAAGTGTCTCATGCACCATCTATGCAATAGAGGCGGGAACCCATCTATATGCTCAGCTGCAGCATTAAGAAGCCCTGGGTGACGGTCCGAGATCAAACATATAGTGCGAGATGGGCCAAGCACTTGTACACGCAGAAGCCGCATGAACCATGACCACGATTCATTGTTCTCTCCCTCTGCCAAAGCAAAAGCCATGGGTACTATCTGGTCCTCAGGATCATAGCAACAGCCATCATCAAGGTGCCCCTGTACTTTCCTGTCAGGAAAGTGCCATCAACAAGTACGACTGGACGACAAAACTGGAATGCATGTTCCGTTTGCACGAACGACCAGAACACACGATAGAGGACATGTCTCAACGGGTCCCGAAAATACATCCCTCTAGTGTCCACAAACCATTTCAAGCCAGGGTTGTAGTAATGCATTGTACATAAGATGCGGGGCACCCTGTTGTACGCTTCCTCCCAACTACCCCAATGAATCGCCAGGGCAATTTGCTTAGCATGCCAAGCCTTTCCGTACTTCACATCATACTTAACGAATCAAGATATGGACTGTTGTAAAGAAGACACCGAAATGTCGTTATTGTCATCAATGAGCCCCAATATACGATGGGCAAGGTAACGTGCAGTGAGCTGCTGATGATTTTTCTTTCCCCCTATTTGTTAGGCAAGTGTGGGGTTCGACAACTTTACTTATCCTCCACTTGCCATCACTCTGTCTCTTTCGTGCATTTAACCTCCACATACAACTGTTTTTGCATATCACGTGGTACCTCAACTCTTGGTCTGAATGAGTGACATTTGTACGGCCTATGGTGATACACAACATAGTCTTGAAGGAAGAGCTTCATCTCTGACATTGTATTGAATATCATCCCCTTCCTAAGGATTTCTTTCTCATGGTCATACAATGATTTTCTACACATCTGGAGACCAGTGTCACAAACTGCCAGATCCGTCATGCTAACATCCCTATAGTTCAGAGCGCCTCTGAAAGGTACGTTCATCGACCTTAGTTGCTCAAGCTCAATCGCTATGTAAGGTGGTGGTGGAACATACTGTTGCGCTTTGCTAATTCTACCCCATGAATCATATGGGGTATCATCTGCTGGCAAATCTGTGACTAGTCTACCCTGAGCCTAGATAGCATGCAAAACCTCACTTGATACTGGTAATGGCATACCATGAACATGTACTGGCATGGCATCAACCGGTGTGGGCATAGCATGTCTATCTCCCTGGTCATCATCTGAATTGTCTGAATCACTGCTAACTATATCACCGATCCTGTCCTCCTCCTCCTGCTCCTCCTCTTCCAGTTCAAACTCATTCACATCGAAGTTATTGCTTATACAGCCTACTTGACTTGAATGAAACTGCTCCTGCGTCAACTGACCGTCCAAATCCATGTTACCCTGAGTTGCTTCCCCTTCGACCCCCAAATCTTGCTCATTGCCTCCAACACCATCAATGGACGACCCATCTAGGACACCCTGCATCTTATACCCATTCTCTACCACCACCTCAGCCATGGGCACATTGGAACCTTGGAGCACCCTAGTGTAGCGGGACTAGTGAGCAGGGTCACGCAAGGGCATCAGGACATAGTGTGCCCTAGTCTTCCCAGTATCAAACCTCTCCTTTAGTGTGAAATCACCGCCAAACTTTGCATTCAAACGGACACAAAGGTCATTGAAATTAGGAGGTTCATCAAACCATTCCAATTCTTCTTTCATATCCTTAAACATACCATCTTCTCTCCTAATACTTCCTCCATATAAAACTCTAACACAACAATCCATCTACAGAAGTATTTCAAGAAACTTCATCAAGTCGTCAAAATTATCGTACGTACTGTCCATAGTAATATTAATAACTATTCTAACTATAACTATACTAACTAATCTAATATTAACATCTATACAAGACTAACTACAACAACTAATTACACTAAATACAATGTATAATTATACGAAATACAATGTATAACTAGACTCACTAACTGTACTAACTAAACTAACTAACTTTACTAACTATACTAACTTACTATATTGCCTATACTAACTAAACTAACTAACTTTATTAACTATACTAACTATACTAATTTTACTTATTGTACTAACTTACTATACTAACAATATTGATTCAATCAACAAATACACTAGAGGAGTACCTCGCGGCAGCGGCGCTCGTCCTCGCGGCAGCAGCGTGCGCTCGACCTCGCGGCAGTGGCGCGATAGACCGGGCCGGGAGGCGCTCGCGCTGGCCTCGGCGGTGGCGGCGGGTGGACACGGGATAGAGAGAGGGGCATGCAGCAGTTGGGAGCGGTGTACAACGCGGAAGTGAGGGTGGTGACGGGCGCGGTGGGCAGCCGCCGTGCGTGGCCAGAGGGCACGACGGGCGGCCAGTGGGCATGGCATGCCGGCGTGCATGGGCGGGGGGCGCTGCGGGCGGCCGACGGCCGTGGCGCGTCGGCGTTCGTGCGGGCGGGTGCGGCAGGCGCGGCGGCCGCGTGCGGGCAGGCGGGCGGGCGTGGCGGGCTAGACGGTGGCGTGGTGCGGCGGGACTGGGCCGCGGGCCTATATTAGGCTCTGCCATGCCCTGGACGGTGGCACACCATTGCCGCGCCATGATGCGTGGCGCGTCACCGCCTCGCCCTGTTCGGTGGCGCGGCAGAGCCGGCCACATCACCGGTTAGGGGCCCTGGTTGCTGCCACGTGGGCAGCCTTGCCACGCCCCATGCATGGCGCGGCAGCGTTAAATCACCGTGCCGTGCGAATAGACACGGCCAAAAGTGGTAGATTTGAAAAAAAATAAACGGTGTTAGTTTTAAAATTAGTTTAAAAAATCTGTTAAAAATAAAAAAAATTCACTCACAGCGCGTGTAGCGACACATTTGGTCACATGTGGTCCTACAAGGCTACTTGGTGCTACACTGATGATTCAGGTCGTGTTCATTGACCCACCCGCCACCTACGCGCGCAGCTCCTATCTTCGCTGCAGGGCCGCCCAGCTTTGGCATCAGACGACGCGGCGGCGGTGCGCGTGGTCGGTGGGTGGGCGAGCCCGTTCGTGATGCGGGTGTGCGTCACGCTCAAGATGAAGGGCGTGGCGTATGAGTTCCTGCAGGAGGAGCCGGGCAAGAAGAGCCAGCTGCTCCTCGCGTCCAACCCCGTGCACAAGCAGATCCCCGTGCTCCTCCATGGCGGGAGGCCGGTCTGCGAGTTGCTCGTCATCTTGCAGTACATCGACAAGGCCTTCGCCAGCGCCAGGTCATGGTTCCTCCCCGCCGACCCTACGACCACGCCGTCCACCGCTTCTGGCTGAGTACGCCAACGCCAAGGTACAGATCCGCAGCCATTTCATTTCAGCTGGAAATCGAATGCACCACCTCGTGGCTGATCTCCATGACGTGAAACCAAACTTGGGCAGCTCCCAATGGCGCTCCGGACGCTGAGGGGCATGATCGACGGCGACAAGGCCGAGGCGACGGAGCAGTTGGCCTTCGTGGCATGTAGCAAGGGGCAGCGATTCTTCACCGGTGACGACATCAGATTCTTAGACATCGTCCTCGGCTCCTACGTCGGGTGGTTCCGGGCAGCAGAGCGGATCACCGCGCAGAGGGTCCTTGACGAGAAGAGAATGCCCTGGCTTGCGGCGTGGGCGGCGCGATTCTGCGTGCACGAGGCCATCAGGGACGTGATGCCTGGCGCCGGAAGGCTCGTTGAGTTCGGCGAGGCGCTTCGCACGACGCTGGCCGCCAACGCTCAACGGATGTAAGGCGAGGGAGCATCCCGGTTCCGCCAGCCTGAGGGGAACGTATTGCTCCTCCAGCCATGCTAGGCTTGATTTGTCATGCGAATTGAAATCTCCAGACAACTTATTCAACGTCAGCTCTAGCCATTAAGGATTGAGCTTACTGTTTAGACATTGTTTGGAACAGGAGTTTTCATAGCTAAAAGAACTTTGGACTTTTCGGGCGCTAACGTTCGGACGGAGGCCGCACAGGGAGCGAGCCTGTGCCTAGCGCGTCAGGCTCGCGAGCAGAGTGCACCAGCAGTAGACCTGTGCCGTACAGGACATCACCCGCGCTGCCAAACATTTCCCACGCGCATCACATGTGTAACACCTGATCTACTTTTTAAACATCTATATGCAACAGTTGTAACATGCACAAGAAGACAAATAAAACACTCCAAACAAACATCCAAAACACTTACGAAAACGCTTGAAAAACATTTATAAACCATTGCAAAAATATGCAACATTCAGATGAAACACTTGCAAACATACAGATGAAACACTTAAAAACACTTGAAACATATGCTTGCAACATGCATTTATATGCAACAACCAGATAAAAATACTTGCAACATACGTTTGGAACAGATAAAATATTTGGAACATACACTTAGAAACATACGTGCATAGCCATTACAACATTGCAACATCTCGATTTACTTTTGCCACATCGATATACAACACTTGTAACATACCTTTAAAACATTTGAAACATACTCTTGCAACATTCGGTTTTTACCCTTCTTCCGGGAAACGGCCGATTTCGGCAAGCCGACGGCCGAGGATGGTGGCATGGCCTGACAGTGGCCAGCTGTGCCTGCGCCATGCATGGGCCCAGTCAGCGACGACCACCTCTCTCCTGGCCGCCTAGCCACACGCGGTGGCTGGCACTTTGCGCACATGCATGACTGCTGCTGGATGGCACGGGCAGGCAGGACCACGAGGGAGGAAGAGGTAGTGATGGAAGGCGGTTAGTGGCGAAGGACAAAGGCGAGCACGGAGCCGCTAGCCACAAACGTCCTTGCCCTAGTACCACGTCGGGAAGACGAGTAGCGGTGTGGCTGAGAAATATGTTCGGTAGAGACTATTGGGCCATTTGTATGGGCGGGACCTAACTAAAATAGCATCCAATAGGAAAAGTTGTCCACAAACTCGCGCAGGAGCATTTCCAAAAGAACTTAAGATGACATGCGAAATTCTTATGTGCCAAACGAAGCCAAATCTCGCATGCAGCCTCTAGCCGCTTTGCCCACCTTCAGCTCCATGGCCACTGTTCGTACATTGTTCCTACCATAGGATGACTGGATGACCCAACACTAGGTTCATTCAAACGGTGAATCTTCACCGGCTTCATGCTACAGTGAACTTGCCAGAGAAGTTTGAGCCCTTTTGAGCTATGCCAAATAAGCCCTCAACACTAAATAAGTCATCATCCTATCACGGTAGTATAATTCTACTGTTCCATCTATCATGAAATACAAGGTACCAAAAGTTCAAAATTTGTCTGAAATCATAAGGTATTCTGGATTGCCCAACCTCATCTATATGTGCTTGACTTTTAAACCCAAAATCCATATGTCTTTAAACGTCATCTTGCACAAAATGACTTCTATAATTGGTAGCCGAAACCAATGGCATGCATGCATGTCTTTTTAAGCTATGTGTTACTAGAAAATTAAACAAGTTGACAACCCAGCTAACTATTAAGTGAATGGTAAGTTAGCCTTTTGTCAGCCTCCTTATTTTTTCCTAAAATTGCTTGAGTGCCTTGCATTTCGGGATTGAATGAGTAGTAAATATATAACTTGTAACAGAACCGACCAAATCATAAGAACGTAAGTACAAAAACAATCACCGAAGCGATCAAATTCCTGTACTTAAGCTCCCATAATCCCGGTAGTCCGGAAATCACGAAGGATGTCAACCAACTCTCGACATACAAACCAAGATCGTAGTGATTCAACACAACACATCATCCGTTACAACATTTCATAAGTAGCCTTCGGATTACCTCCATCAGAGTTCAAATAAAATATTACAAACCAAGTTCAAATGCGCGGAAGCAACATACTTTAGTACATAAATTCATAGTTTCAAATACATTGCCAGATCAGAGTCATGTCCCACAAAAGCATTATCAGGTACGAGAACTAGTAGAGACCACGCCCAATGGCCTAGTCTTCATCCCCACCGGGAGAAAGCGATTTGCAAAGAACCAAAGAAGAACTGGTCATCTCGCAGCATGTGGGAGATAAACCCCGAGTACGAGAAGGTACTCACTAGACTTACCCGACAAAACCGAAATAAAAGACACCAAGGATCATGCAAGGCTTTTCGGTGGGCTAGCTTGACACAGCTTGCATAAAAGAGCTTATGATTATAATAACCAATTTAAACTTATTATCAAGCTTATCATTATTTACATCGTCCACTAGATTAGCACCTTGTACTAGAGCACTCACTTATTAGGAGCAAACAATATTAACCATAGCAGGTATAATAAGGTCATCATCATCATATCATCATTTCCGAACCATTAAGTTATTAAGTGTATCTACATTGGAGATAAGCCCTCAAGTTCTCACTAACCGGGAGACGGCGATTTGAATCGAATTACAACTCAAATGAGGGGTATTCCTAACTCTCACCCCGCATACTTTGCAAGGGTAGCCGTGGTCACCTTTGGAACATCTCGAAAACCAAATTCATGGGTTCGATCAACCCAAGACTCTCGGGGATTACCCTTTTGCCGGGACGATCGGGACTTTTAAATCACCCGCCCTTGGACTCACGCCTACGGCTCCCTTCCGAGGCGCACTTTATACTTATCGACTCCCGGCCTGAGGTGAGCTACTCGGCTTCGTGGTCGATCATTGGACACGACCAACTAAGAGAGAGGCATGCGTTCAACATGAACAGGAAAGGCTCCAAGAATCAGTCCTTAAGCGACACAGACGGAGTCACTGCAAACCGGCAAGCCTCCGTCCGGTCTTCATTTCAAATTAAGACTGGTTTTTTTCCACGATAGCAAATATAGCCAACCGTGCCACATGTATCTTCCTATATCTCGCAGGTGACAGGAAATCACCCGACTTCTACCGCGTTAAGCAGGGCTAAGCACTACTCGAGCCTGAGCTACATAGGATTCAGGGTAACAATATCTGGACAAGGATTGGGTAACCAATGCAGCAATGGTTTGCATCCAACGCCTAAACTTAATACAATAATATATATATGTAACAATAATACTGTAACTGCATTTCGGAAATTAGGAGGCTTAATATGCTCCGGGGCTTGCCTTTCACAAAGTTGCAAGGACGGTGGTCCGGGCACTCAACGGTGACCTCGTCCGGCACTTCTCCTAAAGGTTGCTCCTCCCAATTTACGGTGTCGATCAATTTCTTTGCTTTCGCTTCCACCAATTCAATTCCAGCAGGTTACTCCTTCCGGTACACCTATTGCATGCCGATGCAAAAAATAAATATCATGGATGCATAAGGAATGACATGATGCTCATGATGAATGAATCACAGTGAGTGTTTATGAAAGCATCACTGGACACTCGTTTACCGAGTAATTAGCTCTATTCAAATCACTTTAAGCATGTATCCAACTTAACTTAAATAACAAGATCAACTTACCTAATTTGCATAACCTAAGATAAAGATGCTCATCTTCAGTTAAAGGCCTAACACCTAGGAACATTACCACAAACTTAGAACTAGTAAAGACATACTTAAAATTACAGTTAAAGCTTCATATGCAAACAAGTAGTTACTTAATTCAATCATAACCAGAGTTCTATAAATCCAAATGACTTGCAAGAGGACATTCTGGAAATCTTATGAAATTCTCTACAATTCATTTGTAAACATCAAAGCATGATTCTTAAGTTAACCAAATCAAATTCCAGTAAACCTAGAATCTGTCCCGCAATGACAGGGTTGCTAACTTAATTATTTAATGATGATGCAAAAGCCTAATTTGACCAAACCAAGTTTACCAACTTGTTTTTCATACCTAAGAAACATCAGAAAGTATAGTGCCAACTTCTAAATAATTTATTTAATATCCTTTTCCAATTTGTTTAGTTAATTAGGTGATTTAAGCAATATATAGTAAAACTATTCATAAAAACCTACAAAAATTATAGTAGCTATCTCATGCTGCACATAGACTACCATAAAAATTTCAAAGCCATTGGGCAAGTAAAACTTGTTGTATCTAAAATAACAGATGACACGTCTATTTCTAGCATAATTAGGAAACCTTATTAAAAAGTGTCAAGCAACAGATTTCCCATTTTTCCTAGCCTCATTCTAGCATAATAATAGCACTCATCAAATTTTACCTTCACTGGATCTATAGAAAAATTATGAAAATTCTCACAAGATCTACCCATTAATAAAAGGAAATTCTATAACTTAAAAACTACAAATGCACTAGCTCTGAAATTTTAACCAGAGCTTCTAATAAGCAGTAATAGACTACCCACAAAATTTCATAATTTTTGGACCACAGAAACT